GGATCCAATGGCAGGTGAGCCCGTCTCAATCTCAATGTCGGGTGAGCCCGTCTCAATCTCAATGTCGGGTGAATCTGTCTCAGTTCCAATGTCGGGTGAATCTTTCTCAGTTCCAATGGAGGATGAATCTTTCTCAGTTCCAATGGAGGGTGAATCTTTCTCAGTTCCAATGGAGGGTGAATCTTTCTCAGTTCCAGTGGAGGATGAATCTTTCTCAGTTCCAATGGAGGGTGAATCTTTCTCAGTTCCATTGGAGGGTGAATCTTTCTCAGTTCCAATGGAGGGTGAATCTTTCTCAGTTCCAGTGGAGGATGAATCTTTCTCAGTTCCAGTGGAGGATGAATCTTTCTCAGTTCCAGTGGAGGATGAATCTTTCTCAGTTCCATTGGAGGGTGGGTCCGTCCCAATCACAATGTCTCTAGTTCTAAAGGAAAGACTCTTTGCATTGGTTGTAGACAAATATTTGAACATGCGAAACAAAGAATTCCTAAGACCTTTATCGGAAAAGTTGAATCCACAGAAAGAAACTGCTTTGAGACCAGCGCTCCAGGCTAAGTCAAAGAAATCATCTCCCCTGGCCTTCACGTCGTTTTTAGAAGACAGGACGTGTGGAAAGGAGTATACGCATCTCCAACTGAAATCGCTTGCAGCCAAGGGGATAGATAGTTTTACAAATTTCACATTACCACAAATCAAGCTTATGTTATTCTGTTATGGGAAAGAGGCAAATCGCAGTAAGAAAGACAGCATGAACATTTTATTTGAGACGGTAAAATCAACAGAACACATGTATCATCCGCACTACCTAACTCTGGCAAACTTTGAACAGGTTAAGAGAGGCAGAGTGCTAGAGCTGTTCGGAGAAGGCACTTCATCAATCAATAGTACAGATCATACACAGAGTAGGGAGAACTCGCGACAGCGGGCCCAACGATTTTGCCCAACTGATGAACAGCTTAGGATTTTGAAAGATGATCACCTAAAGGGTAACCCAGTCCCTCTGCACCAAGCAAGGGCTAACCAGTTTGGGGTCCTGCCATCACAGATTAAAAGATGGCACAGCACGTTCAAGAGAAAGAACAAGTTAAATTGACTATCGTTCTAAGTAAAAATATACACACAATATCTACTAAATAAAGTAATATGTATGTACAAATGACATCATAAATAACGTAATATGCTAGTATCTGATAAGTGAAATACTCGCTCGTAAATCACTAATGTGGGTCGAGTGCTTATATACATTTTGGTGCCATCAATATTAAAAGATGACACAGCACGTTCAAGAGAAAGAGCAAGTTAAATTGACTATCGTTCTAAGTAAAAATATACACACAATATCTACTAAATAAAGTAATATGTATGTACAAATGACATCATAAATAACGTAATATGCTAGTATCTGATATGTGAAATACTCGCTCGTAAATCACTAATGTGGGTCGAGTGCTTATATATCACTTCCTCAAAGAGTTCCCGTTCCGGATCTTGAAGCTTCGGCAATGAATGTACCCGTTTACTGATGGGCCTGGGGAACAAATTACAAAACAGTATTTAGTTGATTAGTGTGAGGGTATGTTATCAGATAGTATTTCAGATAGTATTTTGTATATACGAAATATTTACAAGTGTAAATAGTTGTAAGGTATAGATAAGAGAACTACTGCCACCTTAAGTAACACCCGTCTTCAATTACTTCTGCACAGCATTATGAAAGGTAAGGCGGCCTATACCTTCAAATTTTGTTCTAACAATTTAGAGAAGTTATTAATGTTTGTTTGATTTATAAGTTTGATTGATTGATTGATTGATTGATTATTGACTGATTGAAAATAGAAGGGGAAGGTTTTTTTAGATGCCAGTACAGTAATAACTTACCATACTGTAGAATAGTAGGGTTAGTGTTGCTGCCGTTGGATGCGCGCACGCATCCAAACATGTTTTCCAGTGCGTCCTGATTCGTGGATGCAGATATCATCCCCATCCCTGGAAACAGTGTTGACATGGTCTGCACGTACGACCTGTATCCCATGACCATGGAGCACAGGTCGAAGTGGAGCTTCTCGGAAATGTACGCTTGGTTTCTCTCCTTTGTCGTTTGGAACACTCCCTCGTCAACTTCTTCTTTCCAGTCCAGAAACCACTGGAGAGCTCCGTCCAGTTGCACGAGCCTTGGGTCATCCATATTCCTATGGCAAAGACTTGATGGTAATCAACAAATCCTGAAGCCTGACGAAAACGAGTAAGTATGCTGTACATTGTTTTTTTTAACAAGTGCTCATAAAAACCGTCAAAAACGTACGTAAAATAATGTTATTTCAATGGTAACCTGCTAAAAGGAGGATATATGTAATAGTATAAAGTAGAATTTTTCTAACCGTATTGGCTTTTTGTTGGCAAATGTCTTCACGAAGATATTTGCTGCCGTGACGTACTGAATGGTCATGCTCATCGAATCGGCATCCCCCTTTTGCCTTTTAAAGTCCTGGTAGTTCTAAAAAAATGGGTGGGAAAGACAAACGAATTATAGAGACAATGACAATATTCAATACTTTAGCTATACTATCGCATCTGTTTTTAAAAAAAGTAACAAGAAAACATGGTTCAGTGATTTAATTTCATTTCATTTTTATTTATTTACTCAGGGTAAAACATGTCGCCGCAAGGGCGGATTACAAGGGAACATGCACCTGACGGAGTATTTGCATAATTTGTTCACAGCAATGTTTCAGAGGTGAACACTCACATCCAACAACTCCAGCATGTCATCGCTGAAGATATCCGAGGCCAGGTGATTCCTCATGCGTGTGGCTGGGGTCAGCTGGAAGTGGCCGTCTTTAATCCTGCAGGATGTCACTGGTGCCCTTGCATTCGTCTTATCGTGGAGGTATGCCTCCTTAAGATGTGCCCACAGGATGTTCTTACTTTTCGTTTTAAAACACCGAGCTGTTCCTCCTAGCGTACTTTTCTCCAGGTTGTTCCTGAGCTTCTTGATGTTGTGCTGGAAAATAAGTATTATACAACTTGTAAGGTTCAAAGGTGTGCTTTTTAAGCATTATTGGTACCTTTACCCATTTGTATGTTGCTTACACTTTTGTTAAGATGAGCAAAAAGAAAACATTCACTTGAAATGGCGACGCAATTATTACTCCGTGAAGGAGGTCAGGACCTCCGGACGGAGTGTTGTAATCGGCTGATTTTTCATGTTTGCAGTCAAAACACTGGGTTCTCTTCGTGTAATCGGCACGCAATTTTATACGCCGTCTGCGGGCATGCCCGTGTTGATGCACGAATGTGTATTTTTGCCGTTGCTGCTTTCGCGGTCAATGTAATATCGCAGACGCACCCCTACAATTACGAGGCGAATTGGAACGGTCCAGAAAAACGCGTTGTTTGGAATAGCGGGGGGGAGGTAAAAGTTCATGCAGATACGGGGTGGTTTTTATAAGTGGTTCCAGATGTTTTTGCCCATGGTTAAGAGATGCCAAGTTTTTTGGAAGATGTTCGCAGCCAAAACGCATTCTGCCGTACGTCGCATATCTGTGTAATTTCGCATGTGGTGTTGCATTATGTCCGGGATGATGCACGTCTTTTTATTTTTACCGTAGCTGTTTTGATATTGGAGTAAATGGTTATTTTCGAAACATCCCTACTTTTACAATCCTGTGGAATAGACCGTGGGTTTAGGCAGTTGTCTGGTAGCAGAGGTACTGTAAGCAGATATCCTGGTTATCTGGCCGGCGGTAGTAACACTCGCGGTGCTTACCGCCACTGTTGCTGGAATTTGGCTTGTTCCAGGCGCGCTTAATTAGGTACAGGCACCGTAAGACGGTGGGGCTGTCTTTGTTACTAGACACGACCATGATAGTCCGATCTTTATGTGAATGCAATGATTGTGTGTGTGTAATTAAAATGAAGTTAGAACTTGAAGCACAGTATCTTTACACGCCCTGGGAGCAGTAATGGATTTAGCTCTTTGTATGTTTTATGCTTGTGACGCGCCCTCATTGTATTAACCCACGCTCCTCCGCAGCGTCCGCTAGCGCGCTATAATTAAATCCACATCTGGGCGCGCGGCGGGGTCCCCAGAGCAACACAGTGCGGAAGCATTAGCGTGTATTTGTGTCCTGGGGCCGAGAACGCATTTTGCGCAAAGCATGCTGGGTAGCAGAGTGAACTGTCCTGGGGACGAGAGTTTGTGGCGCGGGCGGAGAATGCCAAAACTCCCTCCGTGGCTAAGTTCCTTCCGCGACTAACTCCCTTCTGGGCAAATGTAGAGGGATAACGGTACACCCTCATAGCGTCACCAAATGAGGTACTTTGTAAAGGTCCGTTTCATTTGGTATATATTACCATTGTGACAGCATTTTATACCCCAAAATAGGAATCTTGCGTCTTGTTTTAGGTCCCGATAGTAGAAAGAATGCAGTGTACATGTATTCAGATGGCCGCCGTGTAACGTTACGTACTAGCGAGCGCGCACGACAATACCGCCAGAGTAGAGTAGGTTATCCTAACCCTTTAGATAGCGCAAAGAAAACAAAAACGACAGATTTGCATTAAAGAAAGTTTATTTTCCATAGCCTGGGCTAAGCCACGATCTATAACCTATGGCTTCTCCACGGGCGCTGGGGACGAGCGTGGTATTAACCGTTGCCTAATTATAATGTCTGCACAGTAGGTCTGGCGTTGACGCTTGGGATTTTGTTGAAATATATAAAACTTCACGGAGAATTGTCGCCTATGGCTTCTTGTTCAGTTTTCATTCACTGCTATCTACTTGTTCATGTTGATTGTGCAAGTAGTAACTTACTGGTGGGTCCATGATGAAGGAGTACCTTCCCTCCCCGTACATGTTCTTGACACTGAACCTTTCTCTTATGGCGTCATCTTTCGAGCCAAAGTGACCCATTATAAAGTCTCGGTTGGCCTGTCCTCCATCACACAGACAGGCATGTGAGAAGAAGCCATGCTGTTGGAGGTGGAATACACTATCCCAGTGACACTGGAAAATGTTGATAGGCGCTATTTCTGTGGTCGGGAACCAGGCAAATGGGAAGAAGAATCCCTCGCACCCCTTGAACGCGACCTGAAAGACATGTGTCGCCATTTCTGCCTTTTGTTCCCCTACGGATAAAGAAGAAGAAGAAAAAAAAACATTTTAATAACACTTCTACCCCGAGCAAACGGGAAGTATAAGGGCAAAGAAACATTTCAAGGAGAATTCGCAGTAAGCTTCTAGATGTACATTAATGGTATTTGATTGAAAGACAATTCATACATAATATTTACAATTCAACAAATTTGCCAACTGGTACTTGGTATAAATCTACTTTTTATTGATACCTGCTGTTTGTAGCGCCTGCATACTGCGATAGAAGTCCCCCTCCCCCATGTCGACTAATCCTGCGATTTCAAACTCGTCGCCAACTCTCCTCAGCTGGACACTTCCCTAAAGTAGTGATACATAAACAGAACTGTAAGCTTCAAGTGCCAAACATTTAAGATATGCACAAATGCCCTACAGGAGAACTTAAAGCTTTGTACATATAGTGCATAAATTTTACAACTTCATATCGTACTTACGGGATTTTACTTCAATTAGTCAGAGTATGTAGTCGTATCAAAAGTTTGAAGAACAATTAACCGATCACTCCGAAATATTAAGCACCAAGCTATACCTTTCAAAACAAGCATGTTTCTTACCTGTACTTTCATCTCATCAAACACAACTAATCCGTGGCGTCCCCTTCCCGTCACCCCTTGTTGTTCTGCCTCCTTGGCCATCCACTGGAAGACCTCTGTATGGAGTCCAGGTCTCTGGTTCACGGTGTTCTTCTTGTACTGTAGGAGCCGTTCCGATGGCATTGTCAGGAACCCGCTGTCCTTCATGTCTGCATAACCTTGCTTACTGCGCTGCCACAGTTGGAGACAGACATCCAGGAACCTGAGGTATAAAATGAATTGTGCTCGTTCTAGTTCTTGTAATGATGTAGAAACTGTTGCAGGGAACTTACTTCTTCAATGTGCTTCCAGACAAAAAAAATTCCCTCCCCTAAATATTTACTCTCCTTGACAATGCTTTGCGACATTTCATGATGTATGTACATTGAAAATTTATGTACATGATAAAGTCCCAGATTCAATGATTGGTGAGTCCGCGTCATTTCCAGTTTTATGAAGAATGATATAAAGCGCAGTTAAGTACGTACAGTAATTATATTTGAAACTCACTCTGTATTCCACTGGTTCCGCTTGTTGGTTACATGATCTTTCTGGATTTTCCACAGCAGTTGTCTTCGTTCATCATTCGGGAATAGTTTAGTGACATCTCGGTCCATCTTCCTGAATATTTCTGTCATGTCTCTGTTATCTTCCACCGTCAGACGCACGCTATCTTTCAAAGTGTCATACCGTCCCTTGTGATATGTCGCTCTCTCGTCTGCTCTCACTCGTTTGTTCTTCATTGTGTCATACTTTTCTTTCTTTTGCTCGTCAGTAAGGTAATCCCAATGCGTTCTTTTTCCAGGGGTCTGGCAGTCATCACCCGACTGTTCCTTCAGGTGTTCACGACGCCATCTTGCCTGCTTTACTGCAGATCGTACATTGTTACATTTGGTGCAGCGGACGACCTTGGCGCCTGATGGGGCGAGCAGCAGCTGGCTACACTCCACTGATCGCAAGAGTTGTTGCGGCTCCCCTTGTCCCTCACGAACTGTCTCTACCACTGCTCTAACAGCGGGGTACTTGGTCTCGGTGTAGATCTCACCTCGTAGCCCATCACACGCTGTCATACAACTGATCCTTGACAGCGCATACTCAAAGTCCTGGATACTGCTTATCTGATCCGGAATACCTGTGTTTTCTAGGCTTACTGGAGAACCATTGTGTGTCACATGCACACTAAGGGTATTAGACACTGTCACTGTCCTACAGGATTTATGGCCATTTACGAATGTTGGCTCCAATTTGCAGAGATCAATGCCATTCTGGTGCTCAGTAACACACCAGGAAGAAGGAGCTTTCCGAGACTTCATAAACACCACCAGGCTATCAATTGTTGCTGAAGTTGTTGTTGAAGTGATGACAGGGAGAGACGCATTTTCCTTGTTGTCCAGCGCATGTATATTGAAGTAGAATGATGTGGGAAGGTTGTCAAGGGGATAATGAATATACATTTATGAAAAATACTACTGTTTTATTGCTGTACTGACGTTGTTAAAATGTTATGTAGATGTATATTTCTTTGTGCATGTTCATTAAAGAGTTTTGGCTATTCTCTTGTTTCTGATTGATGAGTCATAATTTACAAATCTCGATACATACATGTACATCGAACTTATAGCTTTTAAAGTCTCCATATTTCTAAAAAAAAACATTTCCCCACACAATATATCAAAGGATATTGTCTCCCGTCGACTGTACCCAGCCTTTTACTTGGACATCAGTGGGAAGCACTCTTTCATCGCCAGCCCGAACACATCAAACGGAACTCCGGCATCAGTGTATCGTTCGTTGTATATGCTGTAGGCGTCCGAGGCCTTTAGATATTGACCTTCTCTCTGGGCGAACACGTTTCTGAGCCTAATAAATTAAGCGAAAATGTAATTCAACTGAAAAAAGGCGTGTACCAACTCTACTTACTTAAACCTTACTTTAATTACTCAACTCGCCTATATTGAATTTCATCTACCCAGACGATAGCTGATGTTTCTCTTGGCTTAATGAATGAATGTAAGACCTTTATTGTACGCTTGTGCTCTAACGAGCTAAGTACAGGTCATGGAAAAACAGGGAAAGAAAACAGTAAGCTCCGTACGGCCCATATAAAATGCCTATATTAACAAACAATATGAACATATATACTGATCATGTCCATCGTGTTATCTTTCCTTCAGTTGTCAACTAATGTTACTCTGTAACAAATATGCCAGTTCTGTCCCTGATGGGAAATAAGCTCTCAAGTTTTTCGCGGAACAATCACAGTCGGCGCGACACAGTTCAACTGAACCCCCGACATAATGGATGAAGTGTGTCTTCCGAACTAAGCGACTTTTTTTCACTTTTTCAAGATCTAACAAAAACGTGAAACCCGGGCCCGCCATATATTACTTATAAAAACAAACAAACTTGTAAGCCGTTATACCTTACCTAGGACGGATTAAAATTTGCTCAAAAAAAGTTAAATACATGTGTATTGTACATGTAACGGTACAGTAACCGTTTAAACCTACCTGCAACACAGCACGTCTTTGGTAAGCATCTTGTTAATCGACGAAAATCCAGCCATATCTCAGAATTGAAAACGAAGAACAGTCGAACGTGTTTCTAAGTCACATTTTTGCTGCCACCCCAGTTGGTAACGCAGTCCACGGGTAGCGTTTCCTACCCTGTCATCTTTTTGAAGTTATCCTCGCTAGCCCCCTTGCGGTTCTATCGATTCCCGCAGCGGTTTTGCGAACGCGTTCGAGTAACTGCGAAACCGGTTCTACTCCCGTCAGCCTTTGCGCCATCTATCTCCTAACCAGAACGCCGATTCCGAAGTAACAGCTAAGTAATGAGTGTGCTTTTTATTGTATGATTCAGCGGACCAAGTACACAGTATGTGTTATACATGTATGGTTTATTGTACGTCTGGTGTTTGCCTTCAGTGTATGATTCTCGGGGATCTTTCAACAGACCGTGTTCACGGTGTTTGTGTTCAGTGTATGATTCTCGGGACTCTTTCAAAGGACCGTGTTCACGGTGTTTGTGTTCATTGTATGATTCTCGGGTATCTTTCAAAGGACCGTGTTCACGGTGTTTGTGTTCAGTGTATGATTCTCGGGACTCTTTCAAAGGACCGTGTTCACGGTGTTTGTGTTCAGTGTATGATTCTCGGGACTCTTTCAAAGGACCGTGTTCACGGTGTTTGTGTTCAGTGTATGATTCTCGGGACTCTTTCAACGGACCGTGTTTACGGTGTTTGTGTTCAGTGTATGATTCTCGGGAATCTTGTACGGAGTGCACAGTGAACTTGTTGTTCAGTTACCTAAGTATATAAGTAACAACGATCTCAACAAAAACTCGGTGGCCTATCGCCCATGAATCGACTGCTATGTCGCGTCACCAAGCTAGACAGTCT